AATGTATGAATGCTTTTCCCTTGATGCTCTTTGTCGCGCTGTCGGCCGATACAGCATGATGAGAAAACAAATTGACTGTAAATTAAGCACGATTTTAGATCTTCAGGTTTCGTAACACGTTTTCATAACATGTGCCTATTATTTCTACAAGTATTCTCTGCCCAAAATGCCCCCCACCCCCACCCCCCAAAAAAAAATTTGTAAAGCTTGTAAGTTAAAATTGTTTCGCAAATATTTGAGAGAGAGAGAAAGAGAGAGAGAGAGTCAGCAATTAATTTTCTTTTCTTTCTTTTTTTTGTACAATAAAATACAACTAGTGTCTAGACTCATTTTTGTACAAGAAAAGAAGGATATCATAGAATTAATAAAATTTTGCTCGTTTACTTTTGTAAAAAATGTGACAAAGGTGCATTTCGAGCTATACAAATGCATCGACAGAACCTAAAACCTAGGAGTTCAAGTTAAGAGTGTGACCTCAGGTCCAAGTAACTAACCAACGTGTAGTGTATGAGGAGACGCGGTAACGGTGACTTGTATCCGCCTTCATGTGGATATCGCGGTGATTGGAGGTAAAAACCATAATGTTAGTGTTACAATATTCCTGCTGGTCTCACAGTAAATACTGCTATTACTGATGATATTTTTAAAAGCATTTATTTACAAAAATACAAGAGAACGTGCAAACTTGTTAATGAAGGTAAAATCACTTGTCGTACTGTGGCCTCTTTTTAGAAACATATCAAACTTTATCATTGCTAAAAAAATTGTACCTTTATTATACAGTTGAAGTATAGTAAAAGTACCAAAAAGAGTAAAAAAAAATTAAATTGTTTTGTTGTCCCTTTGAACCTCGACATGAAATTGGTTAGTGTGGAATTTAAACGCACATAATGAATTATTTCACTCTGCCACTCCTACATTATAGTATAACTATTAGTTTTTTACAACCAATATCTTCACCTTCCAATATTACAGTTGTAATTTCAAAAATGTCCATAATCATTTATTCAACAAGCAATGTTTACAACGTTTGGCTGTAATTCTTCTCTCTTTTTGTGGATAAAATGATGTCGACGATATATTACTGAAATTGTAGTTAGGAAACATAGCGAAATGTTTTCACCTTGCCTTCATCTTCCCCCACTACAAACTGTCCTTTCTTATCAATGGTCACACCCATTGATGCTGAATCCTGCTGTGGACCAACCACGTATCTCAACAGTTGACCATCTGAGGTCAGAACAACCACCCTGTCATTATCCTGGTCAGCAATGAAGATGTGGCCCACGGTGTCTGTACACACTCCTTGAGGATTTTGACTGGGTGCCCATACCAAGATCGATCTAATTTGTAGTGTAAAGAGAATAGGACTGAGCACAGAACATATAATGCGCTTAAAACTTTTATATAACCAAATACAAAAATAAGGTAAATATTACAAAAATCAAATAAAAAGCTCAAGGTACAAAATAATAAGAAATATTGGTGATTATTGACCTTGAAATTTGGGTAACTTTTCCTTTATCGCCAAGGTTTCTACCCTCCGCCAGGTCCACAGATATTTGAACAGACCACTAGAACAGAACACTAGAACACCTTTTGTCTGACTTTTTACTAGCTGAGAACTAAAATTTCCCTGAGCAAAACTGTTCATTAACTTGGTAGCTGGATCATACATGACAATTATCAAACACAAGCTGAAATATCTAGTGACTGCATCTTGTATTAATCATAAGACAAGGCGTCACATTATGTTTATGCTCAAAATTGGGCTCGTAGACTACAGAAAGCGTTAAGTGAACGAGGGCAGAAGAATGCTTTAGGTGAACGCTGGCAGCAGAATGCTTTAGGTGAGCGTGGACAACAGAATGTGCGCCCTTCACACAATACTCCCGTACTTCCAAAAGGAAAATTTGTTAAAACATTGTAATTATAAAGGTCAAATTACTTGAACAGATTTCAATCAGCCGTTGCCACAGACCATTCTGCCAGTCCGACCTGGCCACTCCCTAAAGTTGGGATATCTGTTAAACACATGCGCAATGGTGTACCTGTCACCTTTCAGTGACAAGTACAACGTGGAATAAATATACTTTTTAATGATGATTCTGACCACGAGGCGGTTACAGAGTTCACAATCATTTCATTGCTTATTGTAGATTCAAAGATGAAATTCATTTGGATTTTTATGATATTTCTAATGAAAAGCTGGGCATGGAGAGAATAAATTAAACAAAAATTAAAAAGATAAATAACACAAACTTCACTAAAATTTCATAGAACTACAAATATTATTTTGTAAGCCCATATATCCAGTCAAACGCCCGCCCGCCCGCTACATTTTTATAGTATGTAATTACTGTCAGCAATTCATTTTTCTTTTTCTGTAAAATAAAATACAACTTCTATCCAAATTCACATATTTGTACATGAAAAGAAGGATAACATAGAAATAATAAAAGATATTGATCAGCGCTTACGTTAGTGTTATAATATACCTGCTGGTCTTACAGTAAATACTGGTATTACTGATGATATTTCTAAAAGCATTTATTTACAAGCTTGTTTCATGTACATCTGATTCATTGAAGGTAAAATCACTTGTCGTACTGTGTCCTTTTTTAGAAACACGTTAAACTGTATCAGTGCTCAAATGAAACATTGTATTTTTATAATACAGTAGTATAACTTGACTGTAAAAGTGCCAAAAAGAGTAAAAAAAGATTTAAATTGTTTTGTTGTCAGTTTTGAACCTCGACATGAAATTGGTTAGTGTGGAATTTAAACGTACATAATGAGTTATGATACTCTCCCACTCCTACATTATCGTATAACTAATAGTTTTTTACAACCAATATCTTCATCTTCCAATATTACAGTTGTAATTTCAAAAATGTCCATAATCATTTATTCAACAAGCAATGTTTACAACGTTTGGCTGTAATTCTTCTCTCTTTTTGTGGATAAAATGATGTCGACGATATATTACTGAAATTGTAGTTAGGAAACATAGCGAAATGTTTTCACCTTGCCTTCATCTTCCCCCACTACAAACTGTCCTTTCTTATCAATGGTCACACCCATTGATGCTGAAACCTGTTGTGGACCCACCACGTATCTTAACAGTTGACCATCTGAGGTCAGAACAACCACCCTGTTATTCCCCCGGTCAACAATGAAGATGTGGCCCACGGTGTCNAAAGTGAACGAGGGCAGAAGAATGCTTTAGGTGAACGATGGCAGCAGAATGCTTTAGGTGAGCGTGGACAACAGAATGTGCGCCCTTCACACAATACTCCCGTACTTCCAAAAGGAAAATTTGTTAAAACATTGTAATTATAAAGGTCAAATTACTTGAACAGTTTTCAATCAGCCGTTGCCACTGACCATTCTGCCAATCTGAGCTGGCCACTCCCTCAAGTTAGGTTATCTGTTGGATAAATGCGCAATGACGTACCTGTCGCCTTTCAGTGACAAATACAACGTGGAATACATTAATTTAATTTTTAATGGTAACTTTGACGACGTGGCGGTCTCAGAATGTGCTAATATTCAAAGTCATTCCAATGCTTCTTGTAGATTTAAAGGTGAAATACATTTAATTTTAAATGATATTTCTAATGAAAATTTGGGAATGGAAAGGAAGAATTAAAAAAAATTAAAAAGATAAATAACACAAACTGCGCGATCTAATTATCTTTCAAGCCCATATATCCAGTCACACGCCCGCTAAATTATTACAGCATGATGTAATGGCAGTCAGCAATTCATTTTTGAATTTCTGTAAAACAAAATAAACTTATATCCAAACTCACATATTTGTACGTGAAAAGAAGGATATCACAGAAATAATAAGTTATTGCTCATTTACTTTTGAAAGAAAAATGTGACAAGGGTGCATTTCGAACTATACAAATGCATCGACAGAGCCTTAAACCTAGGATTTCAAGTTAAGAGTGTGACCTGTTCAAGTAGCTATAATACACGTGTAGTGTATGAGGAGACGCGGTGACTTTATCCGTCTTCATGCGGATATCGCGGTGGTTGGAGGTAAAACCATAATGTCCCAGCGCTTACGTAAGTGTTACAATATTCCTGCTGGTAAATACTGGTATTACTGACGAAATTTTTAAAAGCATTTATTTAAAAGCTTGTTTCATGTACATTTGATTCATTGAAGGTAAAATAACTTGTCGTCCTGTGTCCTTTTTTAGAAACATATTAAACAATATCAGTGCTCAAATAAAATATATGTTTTACAATACAGTAGCATAACTAGACTGTAAAAGTGCGAAAAATAGTAAAAGAAATAATTAAATTGGTTTTGTTGTCACTTTTGAACCTCGACATGAAATTGGTTAGTGTACATAATGGATATTTTTACTTTCCCACTCCTACATTATCATATAACTAATTTTTTTGAACCAGTATCATCATCTTCCAATATAACAGTTGTAATTTTAAAAGAATATCCATACTTATGTATTGAACAAGTAATGTTCACAAAGTTTCGCTGTAATTTTTCTCTCTTTTTGTGGTAGAAATGACGTTGCCTGGTAACGTCTGATATACTACTTAACTTGTAGTTAATGAACAAAGCGAAATGTTTTCACCTCGCCTCCATACTCCCCCACTACAAGCTGTCCTTTGTTATCAGTGGTCACACCCGTTGGCCTTGAAACCTGTTGTTGACCCACCACGTATCTTAACAGTTGGCCATCTGAGGACAGAACAACCACCCTGTTATTCGATTGGTCAGCAATGAAGATGTGCCCCACGCTGTCTGTACACACTCCCCAGGGGTAATCCAGGTATCCATCACCTGAGCCTCCCTCACCTGGTGTACCATACTGGAACACTACATCACCCTGGGGGGTCACTCCATATACACAGTGTCCATCACTGTCACTCACCACAATGGTGTCACGACATGGGAGCACTGCAATGTATAGTGGGTCTTCACACATAGGAACACTTATCTTATTGATAAGATTGTACTGCACAGCGTCATACACACATATACATCTATTGTCCACGTCACAGACAAGTATGTGTCCATTGTTGTTCACTGTAACACCGTGGGGGTTAGAAATGTCACCCTGACCAAATGTTTTGACATGTTTCCCGGAGGAAGAATACATTCGGCATCCATCATCACATGTAACCACCAGTCTGTCATCACTGAGCACGGTGACACCTCTGGGATCTGGTACATCAACCTGGAATATCACCTTATGAGATGGTGATATTGCTGTAAGTTTACCCAGCCTGTTAGAAACTAAATATATTGTCCCTCTTTGGCTGCACGATATGTCCCATACATCTTTCATACTACTATCAAACTCACCAACCAAAGATGCAGTATTTAGCCATTTTTTCACGCGACCAAAGAAGTCCACTGGAAGTCTCCCTTTACTGAAAGTTATCTCTGTTCTTTTTACCTGTACGGTGGGTCTAACATTGTTCAGTTCTTTCATCCTTGCTCGGATTTTTTTAGCGTGTGTCATCACCTCCGTGTGGGAGCCATGTTGAACAAGCTGTTTGGCAAACTCACATGTGCTGTGGATGGATACTTTCTGTAGTTGAATGCGATCTTTCTCAGCCTCGAGTGACTTCATGTGCGTTGCAGCGTGGTCTATTGCTTCTGCTATCAACTGAGCAGAAATACGCTGAACCTCTTTTATAATATCCGCCTCCTGTTGTTGTATGTCGGCCACCGTTTTGTTTACAGCGTTAGTTGTATCTTTCTGTTGCTTTGATATTTCTGACTCTGCTTTTTCAAACAGTGAAATGTTCTTAGATACATCATTAAAGGCACTATTTATTTTTACTTTGTGGATTTCCGCTACATCTGCAATGTCAACACAGTTGTGTTTGTTGTGTTTGGTGAGAATACAGTCACGACACACAACAACATCGTCATCTGTGCAATAAAAGGTTAACTGTTGTCCTTTGTGTTTATCACAAAATAGCGAAGCGTCTATTTCTTCCTGGACTTGCTTATCGTGATCAGACACTGAAATCATTGTGTGTCCCCGCAGAATTTTTTTAGCGTTATGCTGTTTTTGTCGACACTTCTCACAGAAAAAATGTTTGCAATCTTGACAGTAAAATTGAGCAACTTGTGAGTGACAGTTACCGCACATTTTGTCTTTTTTCTCTGTTTTCAACATAAAGTCCTTCACCTTGGACAAAAAGAAGTTACGGACAAGTTTCTCCAGCCCACCCGGTGGAACAGGCGCCTCCTGGCGGCACACTGGACACGTGATGTTGCCTCCCGTCCCACTCGCTGCCACGTGCTGGGCAAGACAAGTCAGGCAGAAAGTGTGATAGCATGGGAGGAGACGCGGGTCTTCATACTCGTGAAGACAGATGTGACACGTGAGAAAATTGTCACTGAACTCCTCGTACAGCTTCTTTGATGCCATTACACAAGTTTACACACAGCCAAAAAGCTGTTATAAGTCTTGTCACTTCATGGTGTCGCGTTTTTTCGTGGCCTTTCTGTCTGTGACTAAACTGGTTAACACTGCTTCTGGGTTATATACACGAACATCAGACCACGTCATTTGACAAAGTGGTGATATCCTCTGCCAAGGACGGTGGGGGATGCGAGGGTAACCTATTAAATCACATGTCAGTTACATTCGGCTGTTTCACAATCAGGATGAACAATTAAATGTGGTTAATGTTACAAGTGTCTGATAAATTAACAATTTATGATTGGAGATTGCTGATAGACTAATATCAAAGACACTGTTCATAGGAGCAAAATAAAAAAAGAATTATAATAATCGGATTACAATTTACAAAAATATAGCCAATTATGTGTTCCAAAAGTACCTATTTTTAGCTGTTACGGTGGGTCATTTGCAATTAAGGTAATAAAGATGATGCACTAGCTCTCTATGCCAATGATTTATGGTGAATATGATATTGGTATATAATTCCCACAACATCTGTCTTCTCTTCTAGCAGGTTCTTCCAAAGATATGTTCTGAGAAAAAAAATATTGTAACCATTTTGCAGAAACGGGCTTTGATACACATTTCACTTATTTTTGTTAATGCAATGAAAAACATATTTGATAAGGCCAAATATTACTTTGAAATCACCTGTGAAATCGTTGAGACATTGGAGTTTATGTTACTCATGCTTTATTTTAAATGTTCAGTTCAGTAACCATTCACATCGCTTATGTCAGTACAGTAAATGGACTAGTCAGCAGGTCAGCATGTCAGCATGACAGCAAGCAAGCAAGCAAGGTACATAATCTAGGAAAGAAAACAATAAATAAATAAAATGAATAAATACATAAAGAAATAAATAAATACAGGAAACTATAATTTACTAGATATATTGAACATTACATTACATTAAATCGGTTATATATAGCGAGACTTGAAATTTGCTATATCTATACAATGAACACAAATGATATGAAGTTTACCTTATAATGCAATAATCATAATTTAAACATTATATACTGAATTACAGGAAGGGTTTACAGTTGATAATTAAACCAATGCGTTCTCATATTTAACATTTATCGTATTTCATATTAATGGCCACACCCTATCAGGTGCTCTATCTTATATACCTATTTTTTCACCTTTATAATTTATACAGAAAACTTATAAATACACTATGCAAACACATTTGATAGTATAAACACTTACATTATGATTTCTCCCTTTGAACTGTTACAATACACTTTACTACGTTGGGAAATACGGTTAACTGCAGGAGAGACCCTTCTTGTACAGATTCTTGTAGCGTTATGACTCAATAACATTCAAATAAGCGCGCTACTCACGCAAGTAATGAAAACTACTCACAACTGTTAAAGCTAAAACAAGGAATCTGTACTTACACCTTGTTTATATAAAACAGGGAATCTGGCACTTACATCACCTACGTGATAATATGATGAATTTACCATGTTATGACTTAAACTTGATAAAGGAGTTGTGCNGCAAGTAATGAAAACTACTCACAACTGTTACAGCTAAAACAAGGAATCTGTACTTACACCTTGTTTATATAAAACAGGGAATCTGGCACTTACAAATTGACTTATACCCATTAATATTGTTAACCTGTATGAAGGTACCGCTCAGACGGATTTCAAGTAAGTTCCTTAAATCATTAATTGTGTCAGCAAACTATTAATAAGGATGTTCCACTGGGACTAGTGAAAAGTGATCAAACTAAGTAGGTGAGTTCCTTAAATCATTAAATAGGTAGGGTAGTCATATAGCGAATTAACTGTGAACAGTTATTGATATGAAAATAACTCCGAAATAATAATGGCGGGAGAATGATTTTGCTCTGGTAACCTGGCTTGGTAGCGTTCATAATTTGTGTTATGTTGGAAAAATACTTTGCCATGTAGAATGTTTAATTTTCTGCTCGGCTAATTTATTTGCAAGACCTCAATCTGTCAAAATTCAGAAAGTTGAAAGTCGTGCCATAAAGGTTCTATTCATTGTATTTAGTACATAAATGTATTGATATATTGTGATTTAATCATATAGTCAAATGCAGCCAAATGGGTCATTTCAAGTCAATATATAATATATTGTGAGAGGCCTGTGTACAATTGGTCGTTTCTAAGCATGAATGTTTGTTTTTGGTAGCCATACTTGTATAGGTAATTGAAGCGATTGTTCATCTACACGTGTAAACAGAATTTCAAACAAATGCTTGAAAAGAAGCGAGCTATTTGCAATTGTTATTTAAAGGTCACAATATCAATATTCTACATAATAGCGGTGCAACTCTGTAAAAACGCTTGACGGTATACCCATTAAATGTTTGATTTTGTCAGTACACCAGTAATAAGGATGTACCTCTGCGACTAATGGAAAGTAATTAAATGAAGTATGTCGTACGCCAATGTATCCAGGTGTATCATTGTTATATAAAAGCACTGTAGCTCGCATTATAGCGATGACGTGAAAATTAATACAATATCGCATTGTTTACGAGCAGTGACAGCCAAACAACCAAGCGGAGAGCTGATGTACTTGTAGACAATCGTTGACTTTTTAAAAGAAAAAGAATACACAGAAACTTAATAAGTGAGTTTAAAGAAATAAACAATTTCACATAAGAGCTGATTACAAGTTAGAAAATATGCTCAAAACTGTTGTGCGCAGCTGGGTATTTCCGATGTTCATTAATAGCGAGATGTAAAGGGGGGATTTAATTGTGCAATTCACCTGTGTTGACAACCAGACAGACATGAAAAGAAAAGTCAACGTCAAAGGCATTTTAGAAATACAGGTGGCACCTAGAACATGTCCGTAGCGGGATCGTCACATAGCGAAGTAACTGTAATAATATAAAGATAACTTGGAAATAACTGCTTTCATACCAACAGTAGGACAATGATTTCGTTTTACCTGGCTTGGTATTAGTACACACACTGGACAATAGAAGTGTCACCCCCTAAATCAGAGTAATAAAAGTAGGCAGATCTTGGGTAGTTATAACGCCTGCTCTACTTATAATGTGACTAATGAGTATAAAACCGCTATACCATGGAACTGTATTGTTGGTCTTGTACATGTACAGTAAATATTATTCCTGTCTTGCTCCAATATGGCAAGATACAGGCAATTATCTAACGGTTATGTTTCTGATGAGAGTCACTTTGGTCTGACCTCTGATGACAGACGGGTACGTTGCTGGCGAACTGCTGGTAAAGCATTTGAACCACATGCACTGAATTTTCGAACCCGGAGCAGCATATTTATTATGGTGTGGGGCTGCATCAGCATCCATGGCGTGGGCGAATTGATAGTGGTTGATGGAAACATGAATCACTAGAAATATATCGATGTTTTGGAGTCAGGCTTGCTACCATCTATTACTAACATGTTTGGTGACAGGAATTATCCATTTGTTCACCAGGATGACAATGCTCCTTGTCACAGGTCCAGGGCAGTTGATGATTGGTTTGACCAACAGGGCATTCGCAGGGTGATGTTGCCTGCCCAGAGTCCGGATGCAAACTTAATAGAAAATGTGTGGAATGATATGTCAAAACCTTGGACAAATGCCCGTCCAACCAGCAGACATACTCTGTTATATTCAGTGTTTCATGCTTGGGCCAGCATAAGCCCTGAACGCATCGGCACTTTTATGAACCCTTGCCTCGTAGACTGGCACCTATTATTAGGTCACGTGGCTATGCCACTAAGTACTAATTTTGGACTTGAAACTGCATATTTTGGTAGAATGTATATTTTGTTCTCATTTTGTGATTTTTTGTGAAATTTGATGTAAATAAAATGATACCAGAAGCATATCATTCCACAGTCATTTATCTCCCCCATAGTATTGGTTCAATAGGGGTGACAATTCTATTGTCCAGTGTGTGTAGTTTTCTTTACACCTGGACAAGAAATGATCAGTCGCATGGGAAAAGAGCTCATTACGTATTTGTAAAGCAAAATGTTGTCATTGAGTTTTGTGCGGAAAAAAACGCACAAAAACGTATTGGTAAGTAAAAGAAAGTATTAATTGTGTCACATAAAAGCACAATACATAATAATAAAATGCTAAAGTGAGTTGTGCGCAGGGTATTTCTAATGTTTACTTATTGCGACGAGATAGAAGGTAATTTGCGCATCGCTGATTTTACTAGAGTTGACAACTGACAAGGCATGGAACCATATTTTTGTAAAATCAAAGATATTTTAAGAAAGAGCACCGGGTAACTCTTATTCCATTATTTATTTATTTATTTATTTATTTATTTATTTATTATTATAATTTTTTGATCCAGTATATTTATCATCGTTTTTAGTTCTGAAAATCTTAGTTTTATGATGCTGTTGGTGAAATAATGTCGCCCAACGCACCCATTCTATATATACAGGACAGCAGGGCACTCGGCTCTATGCAATCTCTACTATCAGTGAAGTCCTCTGAAACTTTACATGGCTATTCCCGGTGTGATGTTGACAAAGAAACCTGTCATACACACGACTCCGAACATTTCAGCATAGGACTAGCTTTTTACCTTTGGTTCAAGCAAAAACATAACTGACAAAAATAACAATTCTTTAAAGAATGTCAAATGTCATGTGCAATTTAAATAATTTTAAAGTAGAAGCCTACCAGCTTTAAATACATAATAATACATATCTGTAAGCCATTACGCTAAATGAATTTTCACCCTTCTTCGTCAGCTAACATACTTGTATATGAATTATTCTGAAAAAATAAACATTTACCTTACTGCAGCATTTCCGCGAATGAATCTATGTATAAAAACAACAGAATTTAGAAAGAAAATGGAATGAATTAACGCCAATGACGCAGCTTGCCTGCAAACGTTTCTGATTTTGGGATTCGTAATATTACATGTCGATGAGAATGAGTCTCGCACAGCTATATTACAAATTGTACTTGAGAAAGGAGTAGGCTGCGGTCACCATATTTTGAAAAAAAATATACTAGTGATAGGGAAGTATCCGGGTGCCTCTGATGCAGTGAAAAGTACTCAAATAAGGTACAGGGTAGATCATATACCAGTTCAATTCCTATTATCCATTTAGCGAACGTGAGCTACAGCGTAGACATGATTAAAAATATAAGCCGCAAAACTGGTCGGCGTTGTGAATTAAGACCATGCAGGCAGTAAAAATAATATAAAGGATGACTTAAGAGTTTATCGATACTAAATAAATACACCAAAATATATTTTGCAAAGGGAAAAAGTGATTGTTCAAACAATGGCGAGGACACAAGTTTATTTATAGCGATGACGAGGAAATTTTAATACACGTGGTATCGCATTGTTTACGTGCAGTGACAGCCAAACAACTAACAGTACTGGTAGGCTATCATTGACTTTTTAAAAAAAAAAGAATACACAAAAATGTAATTAGTAGGCTATGTTTCAAAAAGTAAACAATGTGACAAAAGAGCTGATTGCAAGTCAAGAAAAAGATGCTCAAAAGAGTTGTGCGCAGCTGGGTATTTCTAATGTTCATTTATAGACTATTATAAGGGGGATTTTTATCGCGCAGTTCAACTGTGTCGACAACTGGACAGACAAGAAAAGATATAATTCTGCAATACGATAAGTTAAGAGGTTTGGCTAAAATTGAAAGAGGCCTATGTACAGTCAGTTGTCTTAAAGCGTAAACATTTATAAGTTTGCAAAGACGCGACCGTTCATGCACTAGTACCTGTAAAAACAGCTGTTTGAACAAACAATTGAACAGAAACAGGGTATTTCCAATTGTTATTTAAAGCTGGCAAATTGAATACGCGACATAACGACCGTACGTGCAACTCCGTGAAAAGGGCGCCAGAGGCGTAAATCTCTTAGAAGATACAACAAGTAAGTTCGTTAAATAATTGATTTTGCCAGTTTACCAGTAATAAGGAGGTACCTCTGGCACAGGGTAAAGTGCTCAAATGAAGTAGACCATACAATACACCAGTTCAATTCCTGTTATCCATTTAAAAGACGTGAGTTACAGGGTAGACATGATTAAAAAATAATCCGCAAAAACTGATCAGGAAAAATAACATAAATAAAAAATTAAAGGGTGAGCTAAGGGTTTATCAATATTAAATAATAGCACCAAAAGATATTTTGCAAAGGGAACAAAGTAATTGTTCAAACAATGGCGAGGGCACGTGTTTATTTATAGCGATGACGAGAAAATTTTAATAGTATTGCATTGTTTACGTGAAGTGACTGCCAGACAACAAGGCATAAAACTGATAAATTACCCGTTTTGTGGCTTTTTGAAAGACACAAAAACATCACCGGTGAGTTTAGGAAAAAATTAACCTTGTCACGTAAGAGTAAACTAGAGGCATACCTATTCGAGAACATATGCTCATAAGATGTGTACGCAGGTTATTTCCAATGCTTATTTATAGTTCGATTTAAAGGGAAATTTTATTGCGCAGCTTGCCTGGGAGGTCATCTGAACAGACACAAAATATTTCTTGCAAAGTTAGCGACATTTTTAGAAAAAAACACCGCAAGCAATGCTGGTGAGTTGAAGAAAAAATAGTGAAGTCGTCTTAAAGCAAAGTTAGTGCAATATTACATATGAAATTAATAACTGTTTATCGGTACATACAGGTAAATGTACATGTAGCCATAGCAGAACAACGATTTCTCTCCACCTGGGTTGGTAGTTTTCATGACGACTGGACAAGAAATTATTAATTATATCACGAAACAGTTCATTACATATTTGTAAAGATACAGAACGTTGCCATTAAGTTTTTGTGAAAAAAAAGACAGATATCTGATTGGTGAGTTAAAGGAAGTATGAATCGCGTCAAAAAAGAGCACACTGCATGCAAATAAGACGCTCAAGTGAGTTGTGCGCATGGTATTTCCAATGTCAATTCAATGTGGTATATATATATATGTAGTATGGTAAGAAAGAACGCCGTGGGGACTTGCAGGAAAAATAGTTGGCCGTCACATTGCAAACTGATTGAAATACTAGAGATAGGGGCCGTGTCAGATATAAAAATAACCCAGACAAACGATACTCCGAATATGAACAATAATAATTTATAGCACGTTAGACTATAGTGAGAACTTCAAAGGAAAATTAACTGCGCAGCACTGTTTACTCGAGGACCCCGTGAGCAACATAGGCTGAACCCTAGAGGCTACCCTTTATCCTTTTATTTACGTTTACGTGCACCAGTTTGCATTTCTGTCAATTGTTGTCACCCGCATAAAAAAGTTACCTACAAGTTACGACAGCGACATTGTGACGAGCTTGTTTATGCAATGATAACACCAAATTTACCATCACTGCGCGCTGCGATCACAAGTTTATCTATTATTGTCAAATATTCGCGTTTACACCAAACCAACTTACGATATCTGAATCCCGAATACCTCGGGCTTGCAACCGGTTGGAAAATAATAATAATAATAATAAGTATTATTAATTATTAATTACTTCCATCTCTGTTGGTCTCCATCACTCTTTATTGGTCCATAATAACACTATAAAGTATCAGCGAAAAACGCTTTTAAAATGTTGAAAAAAAAGTCATCCAACCCCTACCCCTTGGTTGTGGATGATAAGTTGATTATTATTATTTTTTGTTGTTGTTTCATTTGGTTTTCAATTAATTGTTGCGGGAATTGTGAACTAACAAATCAGTAGCATAGACCTTACTATCAAAATTAGTTCAAACTATGGCCTACGTTGCTATTTCTAAAAGGAAAGTATTGCAGCAGTTTCTTTATCATCGTTTGATTCAAGCAAGATGTGTCAAATGTATTCAGTGAATATGTGACCATAAGTTAATATTTTTTAATTAAGTATGCTATAGTTTGAAAGTCCTTGCACTGTGAGCGATTTCAAAATTTCATAATTATGTGTTTCAGATTGAGTGCCATTGTTTCTGCAACCTTTAGTGATACGCATCTGAACTCACCTCATTTCAGCGTTTCTGTAAAGATGTAAGATGGCGTACCTTAACAATGGATATAGAGGATTGGAAGGCTTGTTTGGGGAAGAAAAGGCGATCTGGCGGCGACAAAATGAACTGTTTGCTCATTTGAACAATACAATTACGACTTCCACTTTACAGGACATAAAACAACTTGTACGTGGGTATTATTTGGGATATGGAGAATTGGAGCGTTGTAATACGATGAGTGACATCCTGGAAGCCTTGGATATTCGTAGTGTTATAACAATGGGGCGGTACGAGAAGCTCAAGATACTGTTGAAAGAAGCTGGCGTTACAAAACTTGTGAGAGATGTTGAGAAAGCTGAACATGACATAGAAGAGATAGCCAGAAGAGGTTAGTGTAATAAAGCTTTCATCTTGTGCCATGTTCATTATAAAAACTGGTTCAGTTTTGACAATTTTATCTTATTTCATATTTCCAAGTCTAAAATACTGCAACTGCCCACAAGAACAGCCACATTTCATTTCCCCCGCCATGATGTTTTTTTAGATTTCTAAGTCCACGCTTTAATAAATCAATATTGTTCTAATGTCAGGTCAAATTATAAATGCATAAACCGTTCACATTAAGATTATTAGGTGTATCTAGGCTTAAAGGGAAAATAAATCTCCGTTTTGGCCAAAAGATTATATAAATAAAGAACACCTTTCCATACTCCATTTTTACATTCAAAGTTGATCCCTTTCTTTTCTTAAACGTAGCGTACTAGGTTTACATGTCTTAATGATAAATTTAATTATAACAACTTTCTTCATTCTACAGCCCATGGAACACATGGTTCTGATAAAAGAGCAATGGATACGTGAAGAGTTTTATTATTGTGTTATTCACACCAAGTCTCATTGTTCATTTCATACTACAATGATAAGGCAATCCATCTTAACATAGAATTCGAAAGTAAAGTTTTTCACAAATACAATGTCTTGACGTCCATGCTGTACTTCTAAAGCAACATCGTAAGTAACCGCTAGATTATATAACCAGGCTTTAGCATACAATTTCACCGACTGTGTGCAAGTGGTAAGATCAAAGTACATCGACAGCGAGTAGCTATTGTTGGGCCTTACGGTGTGGGGAAGACTCATCTTGCCAAGCGCCTACTCCAAGAGAAATATGACGAAGGAAAAGATGCAACCACACCTGGCGTGAAGATATACCGCCATAGATGTATTATCCATAAAGCCGGGCGTTCACGTTGGGTCAGAGGAAAAGGTAAGCAGAATATGGAAACACATTTAAGAAGACAAGCTAACTCAGATCCATCAATAAGTGATAAAGCATAAAAACATGTAAAAGCATGTGGGTCTCATAATGTCTTTCGGGCGGGGGACTGGATGAAAAATACAATTTAGCGTCTTATAGTTATCAAAGGCATACAGTTGAGCTCAGAAATAAATTATGTGAGACGTTAATAAAAGTAACATTTTTTTGATAACTTAACTGGTTACTTTTTATAACGTCTCTCTTTAATTGACGGAATGTGTAACATGAACGCAATACATGTTTGCCCACGATGTTGTTGTCGGACAATAGTTTGATTACTCATTGCACATGGGGTGCTAACAGGGGGGTTACTTTTGGTAACAAAAGGAAACACACATATAACAATCTGGAGAGTTCTTTCTGAGTTCAACTGTTAATACATGTAGACCTACAGCTTTTTAAAGTGCTCTGCAAATTCTATTTCATTTTTTTGACAAAAACGTCTACCTGTAAAACTCAGTCTGTTTTTTACACAAAGGTTAAAATTGTTTCAGCTGTGCAACATGATATATGTTTTTAGCTCAGGAAAAAGCTAAATTTAAATACATTTGTTGGAATATCATAATGTCATTATTCTCAGATGACCCAGAAGACCAGTTTGTGCAACACATGGCAATTGGAATACAGGCACCAAGTACATCACAGCAGCCAGCAGACAGAACACTGTCAGCAGAAATCCCTCCGGATTGGGAAGGTACATGTGTGTCTCTTACAGATCATCGTGATCAAGGCGGTTTATGCAACTGCTTGTCATAATGTAAAGTATCAAATAGTTGCGTAAAATATTGTCTACCTTTACAGAAAGTATTGTAGTCTATTTGATAACTGCTACCGAAATTGAACTAAATATGTAATATTTTTTTTTGAAGATTTTTATTGTAAATGACAATCGCCCGTCATGTTCGTTTTAAATGTTATTGCATTTTTTAGAACATTGGGCTGTTTATAACTTAATGACAAGTTTAAATCGTGCTGTTCATTCTACAGCCCCTCCCCCTGTTGACAGTGGTTCAGATGACTATCTTAAAGGAGCAGCAGGTAAGATGTACAAACGTTAACGCGTATCTTTAAATATACAGATGTTTCTCACATTTATTGCAGATAGATCATGCGCTGGGATGAAATTTATTTTAATCAATAAAGTGGTCATGAGTTTAAACGTTTCGCTTTTTACGCAGAATTGAAGCTTTTGCTTCTACCATGATAGCAATCTTTAGAAAGTTGGGCTTTTTATAACTTAATGACAAGTTTAAATCGTGCTGTTCATTCTACAGGCCCTCCCTCTGGCGACAGTGGTTCAGATGCTACCGAAATTGAACTAAATATGTAATATTTTTTTTTGAAGATTTTTATTGTAAATGACAATCGCCCGTCATGTTCGTTTTAAATGTTATTGCATTTTTTAGAACATTGGGCTGTTTATAACTTAATGACAAGTTTAAATCGTGCTGTTCATTCTACAGCCCCTCCCCCTGGTGACAGTGGTTCAGATGACTATCTTAAAGGAGCAGCAGGTAAGATGTACAAACGTTAACGCGTATCTTTAAATATACAGATGTTTCTCACATTTATTGCAGATAGATCATACGCTGGGATGAAATTTATTTTAATCAATAAAGTGGTCATGAGTTTAAACGTTTCGCTTTTTACGCAGAATTGAAGCTTTTGCTTCTACCATGATAGCAATCTTTAGAAAGTTGGGCTTTTTATAACTAAATGACAAGTTTAAATCGTGCTGTTCATTCTACAGGCCCTCCCTCTGGCGACAGTGGTTCAGATGACTATCTTAAAGGAGCAGCAGGTAAGTTGTACAAACGCTAACGCGTATCTTTAAATATACAGATGTTTCTCACATTTATTGCAGATAGATCATACGCTGGGATGAAATTTATTTTAATCAATAAAGTGGTCATGAGTTTAAACGTTTCACTTTTTTACGCAGAATTGAAGCTTTTGCTTCTACCTTGATTTTCCTCAGTATAAATTATTCACCAATTATCACATATTATACGTTGTATCAAATTATGTCCAGAATATGTATTTAACATTCTTTCATCTAATCATCAACACGATATTGTATTTTAAATACAATTTAAAAATTAGAAATATATTAAACATTGAACGTTCATAATCTCATTTTGAACTACCCTTCTTTTATACCGGTACATCACAGAGAGAATCAATGTAAAGGAAATTGATCCGATGCTCTTAGCGAAAATTGAGGCAATGGCTCGAGGAAAAACTGTGGAACCTGAGAAGCAGATAACAATTTGGGATTTTGCCGGCCAAGATATATACTACACCACACACCAGACGTTCCTCTCAGAGCAAAACATCTACCTGTTGGTGTTCCGGCTTGACTTAGGCCTCAACGCCGAGATCACTGTGTACAGAAGAAAGAAGACAGTAAAAGGTATGCTAGGGTATATATTTATAACTAGATGGGTCACTGTGTTTTGTTAAAATTTGGTTTGTGAGCTGTGTTTTGCTTTACCTCATCAACGAATGTTGTTTAGTAATGCTGAGATAACTTTATTACATTATATAAGATACTTTTTGTTATACTTCTTATTAAAAATCCTTTGACTAAATAAATGAACATAATCTGTGTTCATATCTAGCAAACCTATTAACGGTTGTTTTCTTACCCCACCAGCATTATTATTAAATTGAACCGAAAAACCTTGAAATATCTTATTAAAATAATAATAATAACAATCATATTTTCGAGTCTAATTATGTTCTGTAGACTTTAAAAATAAATAATTTAAAAAAAAAAACAATACAAATACAATTTTAGTTAATAAAAAGCTAAAAGGATTCACTTAATATTTGACATTTTGTTTTGGTTGTAAAAGAAATTGCAATCTATAATCCGGTTCATTTAATATCCCAACATAATGGATGTGTTTCTTCCCCTTTAGATGTGGACATTTAATTAGCAGTTAGCTTTATAATGGATATAAGGAAAGCTACTGATCTGAAACAGTTACAGCACATAATCTGAGCTCTGAGTTTTTACATGAAACCGCTGAACCTAATTAGCCACCCGATTTTGGACGCACCAAACTTTAAGGGGTCTACCTGAATAGCTTTTCTACATCATGATCAAATCAACAATTAGTATATCGTAAGAATAAGGAGTAATTACAGAATATTCAAATAGAGTTGGAAAATGCATATAGCAAACACAATGAAAAATACAAAACCTTATCTTATTATACAACATAGTATTACAACAAAGAAAACGCTGTTTTTTGAGCAAATCTTTTAAATGTATGCTGTCAATCTAAAACATTATACCATATATATGTTTCAGAGTTTATAGTATTTTGGTTGAACTCTATTCATATGCACACAATTGGAAAATCGACGGAAGAAGACAAGAATATCTGTCCACGCGTTTTTATTATTGGAACCCATAAGGACAAAGTAAATGCACAGGTGATTATTCATTTTCTTATTACAGTTTTCAAAGAAAATACATCTGATTTTATATATAATCTGTATTTCTCCATTATTCTTGTTACGTAAACAATGCCTGTTATTAAACCGTGTACAGAGCACGTGTCTTTAAGAAAAATGCCAAGAGTTATAATTACCTGATTTAATGTCGGAATGAAACTTGTTACTTTCATGTATCCCTTTAACCCGTCTCGTATTTATTTACTTATTACACCCCTTCCCCTTTCTTGGGTTTGTACTGTCACATGAATTAAAAATGATAGTCCGTTTTGTTTTGTGCGACCACTTTACATACTCTTTCACAACTACAATGTGTTCAATGACACAGAACCATGTCATGAACCAATGCCTTTTTTATTATTTTCTTCAAAAACAACCGTCTTGTAATTCTCTCCCGAGTCCTGTGCCAACTGTATAATCAATAAGGTGTTGTATTTCATATTAAAGAGGTGTTGAAAGTTAAATAACTACATTGCAGATGACAACACACTATGTGACACATCCCAACTTCTTACGATGACCGGTTGCAAAATGGTTACTAAATATTGAAAAAAATAATGTACATAAATTCGGCAGGGGTGATATTTTTTTGGTAGGGGAGTATAAGAAATTGTAAACAAAGAAAAAAAAACTTTGAAACATGTTTAATTATAGGACGCTGACAAGATTTTTGTTGATCTCGGGGAATATCTCGACGACAAACAGGTGCTCAAGGGCCACGTCCACGGTTATTTTGCGATAAGCAACTTGGCCAGTGAAGTGGAATTTGATGGAATAAAAGGAGCAATCGAAGAGTTATGTGACGATATCAGCAGTTCTGGTGTTTCAGTGAGTTGGATTCAACTGGAAATGAATTTGGCAAAAAAGAGCGAAGAAAAGCCAATCATAAGTATGGTTGAACTGTGTGAAATGGCGCAAGTGGTAGGTCTCCCTGACAGAGAGTTACATGATAGCTTCATTCCTGAACATCACCGTCTGGGAGACATCCTACACTTCAAAGTGGATGGACTGGAAAATGTCGTCATAATAGATCCACTTTGGTTGGCAGATCGGTTTTCTGAGATTATGACCCCAGTCAACATTAAATCTGGAAGCGGATACCTCGATATCCAGCAAGGTGATCTGATAAGAGGGGTGCTAAAGGAGGAGGTATTTGATGCTTATCTACACAAAATCAAAATGACGGAAAGAAAAACTGATTTGATTCAACTTATGCTGCATTTCGACTTGATGTTGGAAATATCTCAATCAGTGGAAAATCCACTTCCATACTTTGGGAAGAGAACCTTCATCGTGCCCAGTATGCTGGTACCCAGTGACAGTGTGGACCCTGCCTTATCTGAGACGGACCCGAAAAAATATTTGCTTATCTCGTTCCCACATGTTATGTTTCATCCCGGATTGTTTCATCGTTTGATCATCCGTCTTCTAAGGAAGTATAAAGCCCAGAGGTATAAAAAGAATATACCAGTAGTTGGGTTTGACCGCGCTTCCTTCCTCCTGGAAGATGATAAGTCGGTGCTTCATCTCGTCATTGAGGACAAGGATATGAAAATGATGATAACTAACGCTTCTCCAAGCCCCACAGGACCTCACATATACTCAAATGCACGACAAACTGTTGTAGAAGAGTTGGAAATTCTTCTGAAAGCATACTGCCCTAGATTACAGTTTTGCTACTGCATCAGAGATAAAAATGACGGTCCCAATATTCAAATAAAAGCAGATGATGTCTACAAAAATGATTTTGTCTCTAAATATGTAGAGAACTCTGCAAAATCGATTGATTTGAGACCATATCGTGTTTGGTTTTCAGGTAAGCAGAGTGATATCACGTACATTGTATTGTTGCTATACAACCAATGAATATATGTCCTGATAATTAATGTTACATTGTACATGTAATGATGTGACTTGGTACTGACCTGGATACAACTGACCCTCTTTACTCAAAAATTATATATTTAACATCCTGCAAGATGCAAAACTAGGATTATGTAATATGTATTTCAATCATTTCAGCGGCAGGGAAAGTACCACATTCGCCTCAACCTCTGGCTGAAGGTAAGCCATGCTGCGCCTTTATATACATACCTGGATGTTTTTTTTTTTTCGTTTTCAAAGGAAACGTCTTCTAATTTATGAGTAGAGCTTGTCATTTTACACATCTACTATGTAATTGAATATATATGAACATGTAACAAATGGTTTCGTCTGTAAATATGTAGAGAAATCTGAAAAAAAAATCGATTGATTTGAGACCATATCCCGCCTGGTTTTCAGGTAAGAAGAGTGATATCACGTACATAATATTGTTGCTGTGAATAGATGTTCTGATAATTAATGTTACATTGTACATGTAATGATGTGACTTGGTACTGACCTGGATACAACTGACCCTCTTTACTCAAAAATTATATATTTATCCTCCTGCAAGATGCAAAACTAGGATTATGTAATATGTATTCCAATCATTTCAGCGGCAGGGAAAGTACCACATTCGCCTCAACCTCTGGATGAAGGTAAGCCATGCTGCGCCTTTATATACATACCTGGATGTTTTTTTCTTGTCGTTTTCAAAGAAAACGTCTTCTACTTTTTGAGTAGAGCTTGCCATTTCACACATCTGCCATGTTACTGAATATATATGAACATGTGACAAATGGTTTCGTCTGTAAATATGTAGAGAACTCTGAAAAATCGATTGATTTGAGACCATATCGTGTTTGGTTTTCAGGTAAGCAGAGTGATATCACGTACATTGTATTGTTACTATACAACCAATGAATATATGTCCTGATAATTAATGTTACATTGTACATGTAATGATGTGACTTGGTACTGACCTGGATACAACTGACCCTCTTTACTAAAAAATTATATATTTATCCTCCTGCAAGATGCAAAACTAGGATTATGTAATATGTATTCCAATCATTTCAGCGGTAGGGAAAGTACCACATAAGCTTCAACCTCTAAATGAAGGTAAGCCATGCTAGACCTTCATATACATACCTGGATGTTTTTTTTTCGTTTTCAAAGGAAACGCCTTCTACTTTATGAGAAGAGCTTGCGATTGTACACATCGACTGTATAACTGAATAAATGTGAACATGGGAGTGAGTGTACAACTGCTCTTCTAATCATACTTATGCCTAAACAAGTAGTGTAACAATTTATAAATTAATTATATGATTAGATTGTCTTGCATTTGAAAACATGTCTCGTCAGGCAGTGAAAAAGAAAAAAACAATCAGTAACATCAAGACCGGTGTGGCAGGAGTGCACGTCCTAGTAACGCAAGTCCGCCCGGACACTAAGTCCTGGGAATGCAATCCTAGGGCATGCATTGCTAGCAATGAAAGTCCTAGGACATACGTTACTAGGATTCAATGCCCGTAGGACAAAGGCTCCCAAGTAATGTAAGTCCTACTTGTAGTAATGCACGTCCGTTTCTGACATTTTAGTAACCCATGTCCTATATAGTTTACACCAAGAAATGACATGAATAAATAGATAAAGAGACATACTAGTTTAAAAGTATTAATAAACGTTTGCTTTATTCTATTTATATGACATTTTATCTTTATATTTTACATTGTTTTCCGATAGGTAGTTTATATGCATATTAATGAAAAAAAAAACAAGTTATTTATTTTATGTGTATTTTTTATCTAGTAAACGCAAATTTCGACGTGTTAACGCATATTTATGGCGTACTCCTCCCTCAGTGCACAATATGTATGAGCCCGGTGTGCCCGATATTTTTTGACAAAATAATTCACCATCGGAAGGCATCTCTTATTTTCATCCTGTGAGGTACAGTATATGTACAGTGTACCTTATTTCATGTCCTTTTCTACTGGGGTGTACCTTTTGTGTTTTGTGTCGAAATTCTTATTTTATCTTTCTCTCTCTCTTTTTCAAAACCTTATTCTTAAGAGACAAATCACTTTACACAAAAAGCGGGATCTCCGTTCTTAGATTTATTTTTCGGTTTACACTCGCTGAAATTGAAAAATAACCTCAAACTCGATGGAATTTTGCTCTTGGAAAGTATGGGCTGAGATTTAAGACAAATCAAGACAGTATAGAAATTGAAAATTGTAATATATTGTATGTATATAATGTTCTGTAATAACCCTTTGCTATTTTTGTGCTTTTACACTTAAAAAACAAAACAAAAAAGTTGTAAATGTAATAAGCACGGAATTTCGAACACATATTAGACATTAAATACACCATAAAACATTTTGCTACAAGTAATAAATAGGGGCCAGAGAGGGGTGGGGGTATGGTCAAGTCAAAGGTAGGTCTCGAACCCATAGATGCAATAGAACAATTGATGATATCTTGCACGCTAACCACTTCACAGACGAGCTGAAGTTGCAAACCTCTCAATTTTTGTCTGATATATGGCTCCCCAGAAGGATTTCATATAAGTTTATAGTTTTATCATTTAACAGTATTATTGCCTAAGGATAGGACTTTCAAATGGTCGGACTTTCATTACTGTCATAGGTGTAACAGGAATAAAAGTCCGACAGTAATACAAGTCCTACCTACTCTAATTATGAGTCAGGAACCTAAGTCCCTGTAGGACTACTATTCCCAAGTAATGTTAGTCCTACGGACAACCATTACCAGGAACCTCGGGGACTTGGATTACTGTTACACCGGGGCATCATCCGTCCGATTCTCATTCAAGCCTAGCCACTTTCATCTAAAAGGCATGCGGATCAACGGGCATGGTAACTAATGACCTTTGCTGCGTAGTGCGTCCTCCGGGCGAATTTTGCTTTGTAGGCGTCATCGGCTCTTAGCTTGGCAAATTCAACGTCAGTTGTACGTACATATTATATCAATACTTTTTTCTTTATAAAATGAAAAAGGAACAAGCCTGTAGATAAAAAAAAATTGTTGGTTCAGCTATTTTCAAGTAAAGAAATCGCTGCTCTACTTCCTTGTGGTCTCCATATTTTAACCACACCTCAAGGCAGATCTCGAAAAATCACGGGGAAATGTGGTCTTCTCGTTGAGAACCCGGACAGCCTCTATTTTCACGTCATCGCTATAAATAAACGTGTGCCCTTTCCATTATTTGAATAATCAATATATTCCCTTTACAAAGCATCTTTTATTGCTTTTATTTATATTTATGAACCCATATGTCATCTTAGTTGTTTTTGTTCTGATCAATTGCCTGCTTGGTCTTCACAACGCCGACCAATTTTGAGGACCATTGTTTAATCATGTCTACCCTATAGCTCACGTTCTTAGTGGATAATAGGAATTGGACTGGTGTATGATCTACTTCATTTGAGTACTTTTTACTGTATCAGAGGTAGCCTACTTCCCTATTGCTGGTATATTGACAACAATCAAGTATTAAACGAACTTACTCGAAATTGGTCTGAGCGATGTCATAATTAATAAATACAGATTTACGACCTTTACAATGTCAAGAGTCGGCGCCTTTTTCACATAGGTGAGCGACCATTATGTCGCGTATTGGTTTTTGCCAGATTTAAATAACAATCGGGAATGACCCGTTTCTGTTCAATTGTTTGTTTGAACAGCTGTTTTATAGGTATAAGTACATGAACGGTCGCGTTTTTGCAAACTAAAACTAATTCCGTAAAGAAACGTGAAGGAATACGCTTACGGAAAACCAACTGTACTTACACATTTCTTAACTTACCGTATTTTATTTTAGAAGTGCATTCAGCTCTTACGCGACATCGCTAATTTCTTTAAAGTTATTTTTGTGTATTTTTTCTTTGAAAAAGTCAACGATAGCCTACCAGTACATCAGCCCTCCGCTTGGTTGCCTGGCTGTCACTTCACGTATCCAACTATTAAAATGTTCACGTCATCTCTCTAAATAAACGTGTGACCTTGCCATTGTTTGATCAACCTCTATATTCCCTTTGCACAACAACTTGCAGGGTCAGTATGTGGCGTATTGATTTTTGCGAGCCTTAAGTAACAATTGGATTGTTTGCTTGAACAACCGTTTCCTACAACAAAATGCTCAAAGGCCCTATACATAACACAATCGTGACATTCCCTGACTTGTCGTAGGGCAGAATAAAAATAATCTTGATAATTGTAAAAACCTTCGGTTTTCTTCTTCTCTCACCCTCCCTCTTTTCTCCTGGTAAACAATGGACAGTGAAATATTTTATTATCTTGATGCTGGTTCAATTCTCTATTTTATTTCATACTCATTTCTACTATTTTCGTCTAGATATGTATGAACTTCTACGCGAGCAGTCGTCTAGCCTGCAGATAAAAGAAGATTCCTCAAGTGGTGAGCATTGACAATTTAAATGAAAGTTCTATTGTGCAAAAAAAAAAAAAAAAAAAAAAAATATATATATA